ATTAATATAAAAATTTTAATACAATAAATACACTGCAACATAATTCAATATAATAATACAATATAAACTAAAATGTAATATTCATATTTAAAACTGCCAATATGCATAACTTACTTCACGAAGATAAAAATAAAAAACCAACAACTTAGATTATGTTGTAAATTTTAATTTTATTTTAAAATTTAGTATTTTTGCGTATATTACATATATATAAGATATAAGATTAACGTGAGGTTTTTAAATATTTCAAAAATAACGCCGACCGTGCGTATAGAAGTATAACTTCAAAGGTCAAAAAAATAACAATAACTAATAGGTAAAATTTTTTCTCTAAGTTTCGTTCTTGGGAAATCTAAAAATTGAAATGCTTTAGATAGTAGGTACAAGGTAGGTATATATTATAAATTTTAGATTTTCTATGTTCTCTTTAAACACTATCAGTAGATAACATAAATTTACATTACTTTCTTTGCCATAGATAATTAACAGAGTATTACATTAGTCGAATCAAACAAAAATTTAAATTTTTCTAGTGCAAAAAAGAGTAAAAAACTTTTTTCGCATCTTTTATGGATATTGCAATTAGTGTCGAGATCGTCAGCAAAAGCTAATAGTACCTGTGCACCCTGGGCACCGAAGCTATTTGTTAATTTCTAGTTGTGCTTTTGTAACTGCGGGTGTAAAGTGAAGTTAAATAACAAAGGGGAAAGTGGGTCGCCTGATCTTATGCTCGTTTTGACTTGAATCGCATCTAATGTGCTGCTGTCAATTCTGATACGTACATTATGACTCCTGTACATACATCTGGACTAATCCTACCAACGTTCTAGTTATTTCCCATTTTTTACCATTACCTTCCACATGTATTTTTGTTTACGAAGCCTTGTATAAACGCTTGTTTACAAATCTACAAACAACTGATGCACATTCTTGTTGCATTCCCCAACTCTTTTCAAAAATATTGTTCTGAAGCTATTTTCTTATGGCATTTTAAAGGAATTACTATTTTTAATGGGAATAAGCTACAATTAAAGGTTAAAGATATGTTTATTGACGTTTCAATTTTCCACTTCAGAAATCGTCCTCAAATACAAACATTTAAGGGTTGTTTTTGTTACGGTCTTCTGCGTACGGAATTATCCTTCTCAGTAGTTAATCGACGTATAGTTGTCTTCTTCATATACACAGCTGTCCAGGGACGTATCCTAATATTGGTTATTTCATTGAGCTCAACTTATTATTGTACGTATTAAATCATAACATAAACAATGTCTTATATGCATATTAGTCCACAGAGCAGGGAGATCTGATTTTGAAAAAAAAAACAAACGTTATAATTTGTTTGTGTTTTTTAAATGGTTAAAAGTAAATGCCAGAAAATTAATAATCTGCCACCGTGTCGGAAAAAAATACTAGGTGATACATCAGCATTTTCTATTAGCATTTAAGGATGACGTTACATAAAAAAACAACAACTGAAAAGTATTTTACGTTTAAGAAAATAATATTGTTTTAAATCAAAATTAACAATTTATAATGAAGAACTGAATCATTTTAACTGAAATAGTCACCACATTAGCGTATCTTGTCTAAAATATTTCTTTTGCAGACAGCTCTCATCATCATCATCATCGTTAGTATCCAACAAATAAATAATAAATTGTCCATTGTTTAAAGTTAATTGTTCTAGTTATTTGTATTCATTTTCTACATTAACTACATGGTTTACTGCTTTTTTCCAGTCTACACTTGTGATCCCTCATAGTTTATATCGAATTAAATCAATCACAAATGTTGAACAAATATTTTTCATCGAATTTGTTTTTTTTACTTTTCTTCAAATAAGTTCTATGGGATTGAAAATACAAAAATATGATGGTATCCTTAAAACAGTATGACCATGCTTTGCTGCAATCCTGTCCTGTCCGTTGTATATATTATCTGTCATAAGTTTTAGTACGAAGCACGTCAAGTAATTATTTCTTATTATAGTTCTCTTTAAAATACAAATCATTATCTGAAAGGAAATCTTGTAGTTCCTGTTTTGAAGACGAACTGTCATACATTTTTCTGCAAACATTTTTTTCCGCAAAGCTTAAACCCAGTTTGCACCTAAATATTTGAAAATCCACAGTGCATAATAGTCATTTGAGAACTTTTGTTCGGAGGTACGCCTTTTAGCTTGAACCCAAGTGAACCATCAGTCACATTTTTTTTTCCGCAAAGCTTAAACCCAATTTGCACCTAACTATTTGAAAATCCACAGTGCACAATAGTCATTCGAGAACTTTTATTCGGAGGTATGCCTTTTAGCTTGAACCCAAGTGAACCATCAGTCTAACCCTTGCTAGTGGTATCATGTTTGTGATACCATATCTCGTCTAAATAATAAATTGTTCACTTTTGGTCTCAATATTCTCAAGTTGTTTCTAAATAATATAAACTCTCTTACTTTCCATAATAGCTACTCGTTTATCAACAATTTTGTATTTAAAATCCATGTTTTTCAGCCGTCTGGGTAAAGTGGTTTTGGGGTAGGTTTTTCCCATTGACAAGCAAGAGTTTTGGCGTATATAATATTAATTCGCTATTAAACAGCGAATTTAACTAGTCAGTTAAAGCGCGCGAAATCAATTTTAAATAAAATTTGTATCAATTTGACGGTAAAAATTCGATATCTTTTGATCAGAGTGTCCTATCGGCAAAAACCAAAATCGTTTATAAGATGAAGAGTTGCTGCTTTTCGTAGGTAATTTTTGCATTTTGTCACAAATCAAGTTAGTTTTTATAAAGGGTAAAATAAATAAACGTTGCGCGATATTTAGCCATTTCTTACGATTCTGATGAGATCAATAAAATTGATCAATTGCATTAACCGATCGTAAAGGAATTTTCATTGGTCGAGCCTTATCTTCAAAACGTATAACATAAAAATTTGATTTTGAGTTTTGGCAACAAATATTGAGTATTGAAATATGCCTTAAAATGCTGAATTTATTCTTTTACATAACAAACTAGCTAAAACATTTAAAACTGTTTCATTTTTTATTGCATTAGTATGTTTTTCGAAACAATACAGCTTCAGCTACAAATCCCACTTAATACCATGTTCGAGGAGGTATTTTCGTTCGTACTCTAAAAATTTATTCTTAAACTCTTTTTAATTCTGAACCCCTTGGAGGGAGTGTAGTGGTCATCGTGATGGCATGTATTGTCTGTGTCCAAAGATCTGTGTCCAAAGATCTGTGTCTCTGGTCATTTCTTTTAACTCGTGCATATGTCGTTTGCATATCCCTGTAATTTGATCGATTCATCGTGTTGGAGATTTTACTCGTGATTTGCGACCTTCTACCTTTCCTTGAATAATTAGTCTTTCTCTGTTTTCTCGTGTCTGGTTCCATAATATAATGCATTATATTTGTTGCCAACAATTAAAATCAAAATTTCATGTTACACAATTTGAGATTAGGTTCTAATAATACAAATTCCACTACGACCGGTCAATGAAAGTGACAAATTTTTATTGATCTCATGAAAATCGTAAAAAATATGCAAAAATCGCCTAACGTTCATTATTTAACACATTTATAAAACTGACTTCGTTTGCAGCTGTTCAATCACAAATTAATCCCTTAATTTGTTATCTCACATTATTCTTAATTTCTTAATCTTTTATAGTATCACACGTGTTTAATTTAGACATTGTAAATCTATAGCGAGTAATATTTTAATCTTTAAGTACATTCATCTGTTAATAAATTGTCGAATAATATATTTTCCAATTGAACTTCCTTCTTCTTCTTAGGGTGCCTGTCCGTTCCGAACATTGGTGATCATTCTGGCTGTGATGATTTTGTTGGTTGCTATACGAAATAGCTGTGTTGAGGTCTTTCTTATATCATGCTTTCAGGTTAGCAAGCCAGGATATTCTTCATCCTGGGGCTCTTTTTTCCTTCAATTTTACCTTGCAAAATGCATTGGAGTAGCTCGTATCCGGCCTTGATTTCTCATTATAATGTACCAAGTACTCCAGCTTACGGCTCTTCACAATGTTGGCCAAATCCGCGGTTGTGTTCCTCCTCCGCAAGTACTTCTGAACTTCCTAAGTGTTGCAATTACGGCCTCGATTAAATTGTATTGTTAGCTCATAGTTCAAAATTTTGTTAGTATGATAGAAGTAATAACCTCTGTGCTGAGGTATGAATTATTTGTGAGATTATAAATTGGGGATTTAAGCCCATGTGAGGGCAGTCTATTATTTTCTGTTACCTAACTAACATCATATATATTGTAATTAGTAGTAGACTGTCAATAAAACTAACGTTTTTCTCCATAACTTTAACTTTTTATTATATTTATTCATCCGTCGATCGACAAGAAGCATCAAAAAGGGGCATTTATAAAATGATTCGACCCTTATAACTACGTTCGAATCTGTCCACGACAAAATCCGCAAATTGCGTACAAAAGCTGCACTCTTTTACTGCACACCTTTAAAACGCATTCTGACTTTGTCTTCCATAGGACACTTTAATTAATAATATATCAAAATTTTTTTACCGTCAAGATGATACAAATTTTATTAAAATTGATTTCGCACATAACTGATACTCAAAATCCTCGGTTGTTTCTGAGAGAACTTTTTATTTTACATAAAAAGTGCCAATAAACATTTGGGTTTAAAATTATCTCATCTATATTTTTTATTTGAAATCTTCTTAGTAAATAGATTTTTTTCGTTTTCCCCCTCGATGTTAGGTTTTATCGGGAAGTCAGGGGCGAAAATGTGGTATTTTTTTAAATTTCTATGGCGCATCAAAATTGACACTGTCGGCAAAATTCAGCTTGTTCGTATGATTTTTAGAGGTCAAATCTCTGACAACGAACTTACAAAATTTTAAAATTTTCTCATAAATAATATTTATCTTACAATAATTAAAAAAAAACTTTTTTTTAAGATATATATAAAAATGGTACTAAAATTTCTACTTTATTTTCAGAAAAAATTCGACTACGTTAGAAAAATTCCATGCCCAAATTTCTGAAGATGCATTATATCCTGCTGATAGTCCATTCGTTGATCAACTACTCCATGAAATGGCTACAGAAGCAATCGTCCATGTTGGTGAGTTTTTAATATTTTTTAAGTTTTTTTCTATTGCTGGTCAAAATGTATTATGTGGTTTAAGTAAAAATAATTAATTTGCGTTGTTTTCTTCTGCCCTTTATTAATATTCTACTGTAGAGGATCCTCATTTATTGTTTACTCATTTGAATATAAGGTATCCCTTCCTCTTATGTGATTTTTGCTTATGGTTTTATAGAGTATTTTCTATTTTTTGGATTTTTAATAGATGGTTAACACATAAAGTACCATGGTCGATAATACGTTTGCACCATTTTCAAGAAAAAAAAAAATTTCACTGGCCGTGCTGGATATGCGTTATACACCAGCCTAGAATTTCTCTTTAGCCACTCAGGGTAACGGAAACGCACCGAAACATTGGCTACTGCACTGAAAGATGTAATAAACCATATACAAAGAAAGTTGTTTTCTGTGTTGCTCATACGACAAGTCTTTACAAATAGTCGAACTTTTTTCAGTAAAACAAACATACAAAAATATTCATATTTTTAATTTGTTTTTAAGATAACATTGTGTGGAAATAAAGGCCTAAGTTATTATAAAAACGATATAATTTTATCGTGTTACGATAAAATTATAAAAAAAAATATTGGGACCGTGCAAGTTCGGAACAGCGACAGCTGGTGTCGTAAATCAGCAAAATTTACTGCGCTTTTATGTTAGATCGAGGTAACTGTCAAGGACGTGGCCCCAAAAAAGAATAAGAAGAAAAAGTAAGACTGAGGTTATGTCGGTATGTTCTTCAAAGGTAAACGTTGATGTAGCGTAAATACAAATCAATATATTATTGAATTACACCATTACTGTTAATATGGATTCAATAATAAAAACTGGATTTGAGAAAGTAAATCACCAAATAACTTTTCAACCAAGCACTGAGTCAAAGGGAAAAGCTTTAGTAGTGGCAAATGTCAAAAAATAATGGAAGAATTAAGAAAAATAAATTACCATAAATAATGCTAATTGCATAAATTAGCAGGTTAAGCCCATGATATTATCATATTGGTTTGAACAATTAATTCTTTCCCTGTAAACTTTTGGACAGCGAATATATCTTAATGCGTCTTCAGAAAAACTTGAAATTGATGCATTCTTGTAAACTTCAAAAAAATAAAATTTAAACATTAAACTTGATTTTTTGGGTTAAAATGAACTTTAAGTGAGTGTTATGAAACTAAAATTTACACTTAAAAGTGAACTTTTATTTATTATTTATTTCAAACTGACTTTAAAATCGGGCGCAAGAATAATGCATAATTTGGGTTATGTTACTTATGCTTTTTTATGATATAAATCCACTTTTCTCTTTGTAGTAGCTTTGTGCTTCGAAGTTGGAAACGAATAAAAACTTAAATTGACAATTTTTTGTTGTATTTTTACAATTTATAACACAGCATATCCTAAATCCCATTTTCTTCAGAGACAGAAGGTGTAAATGTAAATAAACAAAACGAATATGAAATATGACAATTGACAATATGAATTTATAAAAGCTATGAAATGTGCACTAAAAAATGCAAAATTTCTCCGCTACTCACGCACGATCGTTTCTCGTATCCCCTCCAAGTACTTGCACGTCGCCAATAGAAAAAAATAATCAGAGCGAATATAAGCCTCGCATACGTTACTTAATTTTTTTTACTTATTTTTCGCTGACATTCTGTTCATAAATGTAATGCAAATGCAGTTTCTATGTTGCAATTGGAACAAATTGGACTAGACTCCATGCCATTTAAATAATGACTGATATCTGAAACTTCATATGGGCCAATTTCTTGCTGTTTTTTCAAAGCTAAAGAGTGGTAATATGTAGATCGTAAAAAAATTGATAATGAAACCAGAGTTTTTATATTTTATAATGTCCTTTTTAAATTGCGTTAATTGTTTAATGAAAAATAAAAGTAGTAGTATATGTACTCCTAATACCAAAATCAATGTAACATAAATCTTGTAACTAGCCACATAATGAGGTCAGATGACCCTTAAATTACATAATTAAAGTAGTAAATATTATAGTTAATATGACACAAGGTTGATGATAAATGATTACATTTTTTCACACACATACAAATTCCTAGCTCGAAAAAGTACTTCGTCCAACGAGTGGTAACAGAGAATTTTATGTATTAACTAACTTAAATTTTAATGTAACATAGTTGAAAATAATCGTAAAACACATTAAGATAGTACGTCTGAGGTGGGTAGGCCATGTAATGCGGATGGAGCAAAACTGACCCAGCTAGAAAAACGCTCTTTGGTAGAACTATTGGTCAAAGAAAAAGAGGAAGACTCAGAACAAGATTCCTAGATAACATAGACCAAGATATGAGAAATATGGAAATACGTGCTTGGCGGAGGAAGGCGATGGATAGAGACGACTGGAAGAGAATTCTTGGGGAGGCTAGGACCCACACATGATGAGTTGAAATAATTTAAGTAATGTAGGCCTAAAACATCAATATAACTTTATGTTTAAATATAATCTCTATGTGGGATTAAGCAACAAGTATTGGTTGTAATGAAAATCACATTTTTAACTAACTAAAATGTTTGGCTTTTCGATTTCCACTCCGCAAATCGTTTTGTAAAACTGGGAACTGTAAAACCCTAATGGTAAAACCAAAGTTTTTGTTATTGGTTATGTCATTTCAAAATTGACATAGTGGACCTGGATCTTGTAGGCAAACAGCATATAATAGCTGAACAAAATTTGAAAATGGTGTTTTTTATCCAGGAATATCAAATTCAGACTGTTGTACCTATGTATATTTTGTTCTTTTGTTGTTTGTTTAAAAAACTGTATCGTAGTTATACTTTAATACAAAAATTTATCAGAAATAAATTATATATTTATGTGTATTGTGTGTTGCATATGTGGTTTGTGTAAGATTATAGATGATATTTTTTGACCTGATGAGCCCATGGTAGCTGATACATTCAGTTTGGTTGTTGTTATCAATGTATCATCATTATGCAAGTTTTGTGCAAAATCCTGGTTATAACAAAACTGATATTGCCTGAATTGTAATTTATTTCTGCTAGTTTTTGCAAGCAATTTGAGTTTTTAATGAAAGATTGTAACCTCGGAAATTCTTTTTTGGGGTGGTGCTAGAAAGGTAACCAATGGAGACACTGCGGACGGCAGCCAGATGGTGGGTGGAGAGCGAGTCGTGGGTTCGAAACTAGCTTTTAGAACCGTGGAATGGATCCAAACGGAAGAAATAGGTAAAGATAGGATAAGAGATATTAGAAAAGATACAGAAATAAACAAAAAAGATAGATGCGGTAAAATTACCAAAGATAAGAGAAGATAGAAACAGGGCGCACACTCAATTTTTTGGGGATAAGGAGAAAATTAAGGAAAACTTTAGAAAAGAAAAGAGATAAGAAAAGATATTTAGGTTCAGAGATCAAACCCAGAAAGATACCAACAGTAAAATTATCAAATAAAACTGGTCAACGCATAATATAAACAAATAATAAAATATATTAAGTATTACACTTACTTACCTACGAAACTTAATCAGCCTGATCTTTCTACAGTTCAAAAGCATAGTAATATTAAAGATAGTAATTGTTAGAGCTATTATTTTATCAGGGAACTTGTTAGGAGCCGACAAATAAAATACATGCATAAAACAATATATTAAATATATTATATATAATTATATTAAACACAAAATTATGATGCTGCTAGATGCAACCCAGGTAATAAAAATACAACAACTATGAAATGGTGTTATATATGTATAAAATTAAGCTATAATGTAATAAAAAAATACCTTCACCAAGATATTTAAGGCAATCATATACAAATATATGTTTAGCGTATCTCGAGATATCATAGGAAAGGTAATGAACAAAAATTATAGGAAATACAAAAGATAGCAAAAATTATTTAACTCTAAATTTACAAAAAAAAAACAAAAAGGTTACAGGAATGAACACATAAACCAAACCGCACTTGGTTAGGTTTATGGTTAATTGGCAAGTCAATTAACTATCTCGCACTATTATTTAATAAAAAACTGAGACTTGTATGTTCATAGGTAATATTATAGAAATTTCTTGAATGGTTCAATTACATTCAAAAAATCGGCAATCTACAGGTGAAGATGATACGTCCATATAATGGCAGGTGATATTGGTACCATACCAATTATTACATCGCCCAGATAATTGAAGGGGTGGCTGCAATAACCAGGTAGCTCCGTATTTTAAAATTTGTGGGAAATCGAAAAAAACCTCCCCAAAATATTCAAAATTAGTTAATTTTTTTATTATTTTTTTTTTCCTGTGGTGTAAAGCATGATAAGAAAAAGTTTTTACGTAGTTTTTGTAAATATTGTAAATATCATATTTTAATAAAATAAAAAAAAATTGGAGCTGCTTTGCCAAAATATACAAAAAAAATAGTTTTAGGTTTATTTATATGTTATTTGGATAACAAAAAGTAAAGAAACTAAATAAAATGTCCTTATTACATTAATATCAAAATACAAACTAATCAGTGGAATATGAAAACATAAAAAACAGGTAATATTCTTCTTAGGTTACTAGTGTTCATCTTCAGTTTCGGAAGTTTGGCATTCTTCTGGCTCTACAGGAACAAGTTGTTGGTAGTACCACATTTCAGCCTCGCCAACATACTGTCTGGCCAATTCCATGACATTTAATAGCTTATCCCTTTTCAAAGGCAACGGTGCATTATAAACCTTATTGTGTACTTGTGGAAAAATCGGTACACAAGATTTCTTTAAAAGAACGAAATCCTCAGTCACAAAACCATTCGCTGACTCTGAGCACGTAACAGTCTCTCTATGTGTATCACTAAATTCGATAACTTTATATTTCGATATGGTAAATTTTGCACCAAAACTATTTTTAATATTGCTTTTCTTAAAAAATGGCTCAAGAACTTCTTTATAGTTTAGAATCATATCTTGTTTAACAGTTTTCACAATAAACTTCTTACTGGT